TTTTTTATTATTTACAACTATTGCCACACACCTTGGCGGTTTTCACCATTACTAAAACAAACAAAAATAACATACTAAATATATTTAAATAAACAATGTACAGTTCACGCTGCCCATAGCAGTCCGGTTAATTGTAATCTTTAACGTCATTTTAGATATGTTATTAGGATTCGGCATAGCTGGTACAATTGGGGCGATTCGTGCAGATGGAGAGGACCTCATGGTAAGATCATCCTATGACCCATTCATAATATCAATATTGGCCAATTGAACAGAGGGTGTTTTAGGTTAATTAACACAAATTTAAAGTGATACAAACCACCTTTTTTTAATATACAGTATGCTGCCTCGGTGACAATCCTGTGAATAGTCATATACATTCCATGGAGGTCAATGTTTTATTGTTCTCAGGCCTATAATTGTTGTTTTTGCCTGTTGGCTGCAGTTTAATATAAAAAAAATTTTAACGATGCATGTGTGTTTTTATTTGTTTTATTTCAATTTGTTTTATTCTATTTATTACAAGGCGATCGGACATCTCTGGTGATACACAATCACGCCTTTCATATAATTCGCGCTGTATAGCGTCAAAGTTTGTGAAGACATTCGCCATTTGTAATTAGTTAAAGCGCGGTGGTCGTCGCGCAGCAGGTGCTCGAATTTCATGTAAATAAACAATGTATTTTACACGCGTTGTATACGTCGCTATGATTCCCATATCGAACAAGACGCGGCGAGACGACCACCATCCTTTAACTATAATCAGACTACAGATAAAAACAGTATCTGAACGTTCATTCTTTCACACAGTCACATCACAGACACATTTCAACGCTAGAGGGCGTGACGAAAAATGTGTATTGGCTAACCAATCGTATTCATTTTCCAACAGATTTCTTACCAGCCTCTACAGGCCGCCTATTTTTCACGATGGCCGTCAGTTTGTTGTCTTCTTTGCTCATCATGCTTGTTTACTGGTTTAAAGTCACCAAACCATATGGAGTATATCTATTTATTTTGTACATCGTTTTTCTCATTATTGCTATACTGGTAGAAACTGAAGTCATTAATTTATGATGAAATGACGTTATTCATCTGTGATTCGATAATCGTTAATATACTTCACTTAATCATGCTTGGCTAACCATTAAACATGTAACTGAATAGTAATGTCTGAAAATGTGCTAAAAATGTAAAACAAATCACTGCTTTAATATATTTACGCTTTCTTTTACGTTTGATTTTAAGTTTCCCACCTGTAACTGTGTATGGCGATGACACACTATGTACATGTATATTCAAATGATATGCATGTAGCAACCAACCTATACTAATCAAATCACGCCACGTACTCCCCTTCGTCATGTGACCCCACAACCAGAGAATTTGTACTTTACTGATAATGTCGATGTTGATAATGTTGCCAAAGAAATTATATTGAGTTGTGTTTTTTGATATTACGAATACCACTTTTTTTCTGCCAACTCACATTTTTAAACTTTGTATATATCACTGTTATTGCAACAACTTTATTCAGCTCAATAAACTTGACCAATATAACCATTTTTATGATTTTGTTCATATTATAATAATATTATAATCGCGCGACTGAGTCGTGCGATGGTACGTTAGGCGTTTGGAAAGATCAGCGATGATTTGCCTCTGAATTGTGTTAAATACTGTCCAGTAGTAGTATATGTTCAATGTATTAAAAATAGTAAAAGAAACATTTTAGTCTAATGGATAATTGAATTAATGTAACAGACTTTGGGTATCAGTATCACGTACATAACAACATATCCGTCGCACTCGCCGAGACCCGAAGAGGTATAATCATGGTTAAATGGTTTCAGCGAAGTCTGTTCAAAGTATGTACACTTCAGTGTAGTATAAAATAACAACATTTCACGTAGAATGGTGTTTTAATTCAATTTATGTTTCGGGGTGTTGTTGGTTCCCCTTTATCAAACTACAACCACAAACAACTTCAATATGAGTACAAAAATAAAAATAAAAGCATGTTTGGTGAAACTGTGGACGATGGAGGAGAATGCCGGTGGCTTTATGAGGACCTTTGGAATAGCACCAATGGTACTGTAATTCGAACAGGACGCGGCGCGACGACCACCGTCCTTTAACATGCTTGAGTATCACTGGTGTGCGACCAATGTCGATTGTCCTCATTATTTGCCTAAAGTCATAGACATAACATTTTCAAATTTGTCAGGTCAGTTTTAAATTAAAATTAATATTGAAATAAGTATCTAATCTGATGGAAATTTAATATAACGTCAGCTGACGTCAGAGAATCGCTTCTTGGCTAGATGACGCTATTTATAGGAGTGGTCAAATACATTTCCCAACATGGAGCCTAAGAATACCTTGGTCGTGAAGTTGAGTTAAAAGTTCGAATTCCGACGTCAAATTTTCGCCTTTGCCGTGATGTGCGGGTAAGTCGGATGAATATAGAGATGGTATGGCACTCATTTTTTCGTCGAATTCAAATGGCCACACCCCAAATACATGGATTGTTTCACATATTGTAAACCCGATGCTAATCAGTGTCATGCTGGAAGAGAGGACTGTTCCACGAAGACGCCAAAACCTTCGGAAATTTTCGGGATACGCCACGTTTAGTAATAGCGTCTGCAGCCTTTGGGATGTCTGTTTGTTGATATGTTGCGCAATTTTGAACGCCATGTTGTTAGACACATTTCGGCTGTTTGGAATCCATAAAACGTAACCGCTGTATTCACTGGCGGCTTTCACGAGAAACGGAACGTCAAAATTTCCATAAATATTTAATATCTTTACTGCATTGGTATTTGGACTAATACTGACGAGGTTGGTTTTTCTGCCGGCATCGTCTTTATATTGATCTATCGGCTGTAAATCAGACCTCATGATAAAATCTAAACTATCAATTTCCACACCACAGTGACTGTTTCTCAAAATAGCTCCATTCCCTACAACACCGCAACTTTTGTACCGCGTGACGTCTGAGAATGGTGACGTCAGTGGGAGCAGCGCCCTCTTTACCACAGTCATTTGTACGGGTTTTTGATGGTTAGAATTGAAGAATCTTTCCCCGAGCGGAGTATTCTGCCTTGTTAGTATAAAGTACGTTTGATTCAGTTGACTGTCTAGTTGTCTTCTAAGCATCCACATTCTAGTTATGTTCATTTTCCATCGACTTAAGCTTTTGCCAAGTTCAGAAAGTCTTTTCATTAGTAGCTTATTTTGATTGTAGATTTGCACTCTCTTATCCAAAATGTCGTGTAGTTTTTGTTTTTCGCCTTCAATCCTTTTCTCATGTTCTATTCTCAAAGTTTCCTCCGACTTCTCCTCAACCCTGGACCAATCAGCTGCTTTCTTGTCGGTTCCATGACTTGCATTTTGTTTATGGAGATTTATCACCACGTTGCTTTGTTCTGGTACTTGTATATCATTTTCAATGACGTCGTCAACGGGGATTATATCATTTGACGAATCCGGTCTGCATATGTACTCCACATTCTTGTTTTGACCAGGCTGGTAGTAAGTGGCGAAGCCCCAAAGAGCATACGTTTGGGTCATTATGATCACTGATACCGAAAATAGACAAAACTTGACAAGCCACGATGACGGGACACAGCGTTTCAGAAGACTATTTGTATTCATGTCTTCACGATAGGAATCACCAATAAAAACGAAGTCTACCGCGTTGGTTCTCAGCTTGGCACGATTCGTGGCGAAGATCAGGGCCTCAAAATAATCAGCTGCATAATCGACTCGCCAAATCCGCACATTAGTAGCCCCGGTACAACGTGTACGGGGTAGGAGATGATATACCCCTCTATTATGTGCGTAGTTCACTGCTCATAAGCGGGTGTGGTTCGACTAAGTTCACACACTACACCCGGCCTTAATATAGAATACGGCATTGTGGAGCCCACAATGCACGTCATTTTCTGTGTTTCTTGAATGAATAGCTGATTTTGTTGTAAAATAACGGCCCTTATCTTCACTGTTCAATTCCCGAATAATCATACAATTGTTCATACATAAACGTAACCTAGTCTGCGAGTTGTACTGTCACAGTAATTCTAAATCGCCCCAGCCTCCCGCTACGTGCCAACGTGCAATCATGGGAGAGTTGAAGTTCACAACTGGTTTCATTCGGAATCAGCAAGTTGAAAAATACAACTTCTTTCTTGGTCAGGACAGTTGTATTCTCGCAGGTATAGATCAAATTCAGATGGAATTGTTAAATTAAGTTGAACAATTCGGTGAAGGACACCACGTGACATAATGGCTCTTACAGTACAGCGGTTTACTCCTTCTTGCTGGCGTAAGTGTTTGACCATGGACATATAGATACAATAGTAACATTGAACATTACCTTCGTTACCTGCAATATGTCCGCTGTCGAAAGTAAAGCTTGTGCTTGGTGGCTACTCACAAATATATACGCAATGTGTCGCCCAAATAGGTTACTTTCTCCGAAAATTTCATGACATGGGTATTTCTTTCGGGAAATAAACCCTAATATGGCTTTTTAGTACAAATTTTACACACATTTTCGTAAATTCCTACCAAAACTGCTTTACTAAAAAAATAGTAACCTGTAATGTTTTGTGTATGTATCTTTGTTTTGTAGCTATCATAAAAAAA